TAAATTCATGACAGTATTTAGAAATAAAAAGAAAATGTAAAAATTGGAGAATTTATTGTGCAAAATGCAAGCATTGCAGAGAGGAAGAATCACGTTCTCTGTCTCTAGACAACTACATATCGTGTCAGAAATGTGGATTTTCCATCAGGCACATGATCTGTATTACGGATAACCAGTATTTCACTATCTGTAAACAAGCAGCTATAGCTAACGAATTATTTTGGAATGCCAGCTGTGCACTGCAACATGAAACACTGCTGTCTAGAAAAAACTCCCCCCACCACTCATACTGCATGCACTGCCAGACATACCACATACATTATCAAGTGACATTGCCTTTACCTTCCACAAATATGCAATAAATATACCTAAGCTCCTTCCCCCTGCTTCTTGATTTGCTTTTCAAAGTTAACGCGATTTTCAAAAGCAGAGTACTTGTTTCTATGGGACAAGACATAAAGTCCTTATTTCTTTGGATTTAACCCATTTCATGTGGCTTGAGAGTTTGCATAATATATCGAGCATTTTAAAAACACTGGCTTTCAAAACTTGATGTACCTACCACTTGTGCTTGTCATAATCATAACCAGTAGGCTGTTACGTTAGACAGCTATAGAAATGGATAAACAAAGACAACTCCAATCCTGCACATTCTACAATTGCATGTCAATCACGATTAGGGTGACAGTCAAGCAACAGGATTAGCCAAACTATGAGGATTCTTTGAAGGATTTAAGGTTTTTTTGAACTGCAACCTAATCACCTGTAGCTGTGGAATTTTTTTTTTAGGCCTCACAGGAGAAACAAACATCCCTGTGACAGCAATTTTTCCTAGTCCACTGCGGCAATATTTAACTCTGATACACGTTTCTTTCCCAAAATGTTTTTCTCAATGTGGGGGGTTGTGGGTTTTTTGGGGCATATGTTTTTTTCTTTCCTTTTAAATTAGATGATTTTTACCCTTCTCCCCATTTCACAGATGCAAACCGTGCCCAAGGTCACCAGACAATGGGAAGAGGCAGCCAGAATTCCCGATTTCCGCACTGTCCAAATTAGGACATGATGTCAACGAAATATTACATTGATACTGCTGTGCCCCTAGCAAGGTACTTCACATCAAAGGGCATTTCTTGGTCAGCAGCGCAGCCTGAGCTGCAAACAAGGTGAATGAGGTTCCGGGGGTTGCCCCCGGCCCAACCTCAGCCGGGGGCTGTGCGCGGGCCGGGCAAAGAGCAGCGCCCAGCGCTCGACCCGGTTCGGCCCCCGGTATTCTCCACAGAGCCACAGAACCGCCAGGTCAGCCCCCGGCGAGCCAACCCTTCATACCAAGGTAGATGTCCCCGAAGGAGCCGCTCCCGATCTTCCGGCCGAGCCGATACCGGTTCCCAACCCTCAGCTCCATGACGGCAGCTCGGCTCGTCCGCGACCCGGTTCTGTTGCTCTGCCCGGCCCGTCGGCTCGCGCTCTGATGCTTCACAGTCCTGCGGCTCCGGATGCCATCGCGGCTCTGGTCTTGCCGCTCGATACTTGCGGCACAGGCGGCACCGCCGCCGCAGCTCCTGGGCAGGATGGACGCGGATTACCCGCGCGAGCGACCCCTCAGCGCCGCGGGCCCCGAGCCGCCATCCTGCGTGACCTCACTTCCCTGGCGCCGGCCCCGCCCCTCCGCCCCCCCCCCCCCGCGCTCGCTCGGGGCGGGGCCGCGCGGCCTCAGCGCTTCCCCCCGGCCCGGGCCGGCTGGCGGCTGGGGCTGCCCTTCTGTCCTGTTTCCCAAGCCTTCCGAGGTTGTCCTGTTTCCGGAGGCCGTGGGTCACTGTAGTGGCTATGTATTCTGGTAGCGGTGCTTTCCGAGAAGTGCTCATTTGACTGCGGAATGCCAGGGACAAAGTCTGAGTCATGACCCCGCAAATTTCAGGGGAAAACCGTGTCATTCTTGCTGGAGAGGAGTGTTGGGATCTCCTGTGCCTCTCCAGGTGAGGAAGGATTCCTCTTAGCATAGTCCTACACCGACTTTCACGGTAAGGCCTGTATGTGTAATCAGAAGCACAACACGGCCATGTGGTGTGTTCACGTGTGAGGCTGTATATTTGTGAACCCTCATACTGTAAAAGCTGTAAGACATTCATTCAGTGTCTTAGGTGGATGATAGCTGAGCCACTGGAGCTACAGAATAAAGGTCAGGGAGGGAGAAAGACAGACAGAGATAGATCTAACTGTCAAATTCTCCCAGCAGCTCTGAGAGCGGGAGCTGCGGTTACTCTTGGACCCACTGGTCTGTGTCACCCCTCCTCTGCATCCCATCCCTACCACCCCACCTTTCTTCTGCTGATGTAATGTTTTTTACTTCCCTGTACCTCTCCCTCTCTCATTCTCCAAACCCGCCTCCTCTTTCTCTGTTGTTCTACCTCTGTGTTTTGTTCTTCTTTCTGCCCTTCTGTCCTGTTTCCCACCCCTCATTTTCCTTCTCTCTCAGTCATGCAGCCCAGCACTATTTTTGTCTTTCTCCATTTAGCTGTCTTTCAATTTTTTTAACTTCTCCCCATGTGCCCTCTAGCCCTTCATGACCTCCCCCCCATTTTTATTTCCTCTGTCTCTCTGTCCTGTATTCTAAGTATACTTTTTCTTTGTTAGATACTCTCATTCCAGGTCCCTGTCCCTATGTTTTCATTTCTTCCCTCTCTGTCCCACAGCCCATTTTTCTCTTCACCATTCTCTGTCTGTCTTCGTCTGCCCATAATTTAATTCTCTCCCCTTTAGCTCATCGAGGGTTTTGTGGTATTTATCAGTCAATCTCTGTTCCCTTCACTGTCCTCGTTTTAAAATCCCTCCCTCTCTGCCCTTTGGCCCATTGCTATTCTTTGTTTGTCTCCATCTTGTTCATTCTGGTTCCCTCTCCCTTCTTTCTCCCTGGTCTGTAGCCCATCGCTGTTTTCTCCCTCTTCTGCCTCATGTTCTCTGTGGCTCCCTCTTCCTATTTTTTCCCCTCTTCTCTGTCCTGCAGTCAGTTGCTGGTGTATTTGGTTTACATGGCAAGGCATCATTACCTGGCGCGCGCAGGCACAGTCTGCAAGGGAGGGTTCAGTGAGAAGACACCAGGAGTTGCCCCCATGATGGGCACAGCCAGTTCTGGCTGCAAGATGGATCTGCTGCTGGTCAAAGACCATGACATCAGTAATGCTGCCACTGCCTCTGTGATGGCATGTTTAAGAAGGGCTAAAAAAGGCTGCACAGAAGCTATGACAGAGAAAAATATCCACAACCATTTCTTCCCTGTATGTCACAGATTCTTCCTTACAGCCCCCTAGGTATTCTCCCCGATGGCTTCTTTGCCCCAGTAGTCATGGTTTTTAAAAAGCCTTTTAATGTCTCTGCATCTCATTATTTGTCTTGGTTTTGTGCAGCGTGTGTCTATGTGTGTTTGTGTCTGTATTGGAGTTGCTCTGCCTTTGGCCACAGCAGTGAGAACCTGCAGAAGAATAAACACCGGATTCCTAATTTTTTAGTTCATTCTTTAAAGTTTTATGCTTTACTCTCATTTACTAATCGAGTGAGCGAGAGGTGCAGCAGCAGTGCGAGGGCCAGAGCTGTTGGATGGGTCTGGGAGCACAGATTCTGACAGCCGCGTCCTGCAGCAGTGCTGTGGAGAAGGGATGAGACATCTCCTGGCACTGGCCAAGAGTGTTTACTTTTATGCAAAGAATGCATTCAGAATCATACCAATTAGTCTTAAGTGTTCAAATGGCTCTAGCTTTTAAAAGACATATTTCAAGCTTACCAGTTCACCTAGAATCTGCCTTCAACTCAACTACTCTTCTATCCCTTATTCTGACAGAATTCCTTTACTACCTTTAGTATTTTTATTTAATATGCTGAAATATAATCTGGGATTTTTGTTGTTCAGATGTAGTGTTGTGTCTTGTGATCCTCTCATCTAGGTTTGCCTGCCGGTCATTCAGCATGCTGGGGTGAGGGGTGGCCCTGTGCCTGGGGGCTCCTGGCCCTGTCTCCAGCGGATGTGGCAGCAAAGGCTGGCTGAGGAGGAGAGTCCAGGGCCAACTGGGACCGGGGATGGGGTTAAAGACGAGGGTGTGGGTCGTGGACAGCTAAGGACAACCTCGAGGGTAAGACCTGGGGAAATGTGCAACGAAAAAGAAATGGCTCAGGGCGGGCGCTTGGATTTCAATGCGCCGGCGGCCACCGGCAGCTGGGATACGACAACGGGCAGCCTCCGCAGCTCCGCCGAGCCCCGGGCGGGAGGAGAGCGCAGAGCAGGGAGGTAGGGGGCAGAGAAGCACAGTATCCCCATTGGCTGCCGTGAACCGCGTACGGCTCTCCCATTGGTCAGAACACGGTTCGCAGCGCTCCCACCTGCCCCATTGGCTGCTATCTCTGTCAATCCCGCCAGGACCCCAGGGACTGCCCTGCGTAAAACCTGAACAGAAAATAAAATAAAATAAAAATAACATCTAAAGGAAAAATGAAACTGAAAAAGAAAAAAGTAGAAAACAAAATAAAAAATAAAATCTAAAATAAAATTACAATAAAAAGAAAATAAAACTAACATGAAAAATAAACAATAAAATAAAATAAAAACTAAAATGGAAAAATTACATTGGGGCTGGATTTCGCCTCTCTCAGCTGGGGTGAGAATCGCTGCTGCTGCCACCTGGCGGTGAGCGTGCAGTACTGCGCGTGTGCGATGATTTCGCGGGTGACGCTGACTAAAAGCTGTACTGCAGCAAAGAAGGGAATGCACGCACACCTACTCGACGGAAGCCGAACGTCAGCTGATACATGAAGGCAAGAAGGCAACCTCTCACGTATGCGCCCCTATTGTGCGACACCCGACGTCACGTAGTAAGAAAGGGCAGCCCGGCTTCAGAATGACGCATGCGCAATAACTTCAGTGACTCTCCGATGCCGCCTATTGATAAAACAGCGACACTGGAGCAAAGAGAACTGCCGTACAAAAGATGGCGCCGCCCAGACCGGAAGTCTTCCATTCGGATGGATAGAGAGTTCTTAAAAATAAATTTCCAAAGGGATTTGTTGAGACTATCCCTGTATCTTCCTGCACCAGTGAAGAGCACTAGTTTGACTTAGTAAGAAAGACTGAATTGCAGTGCCAAAATCAGTAGCTCTGCTCACCTTGAGTTGTGGCTGTCCAAAGGACAGTTCTCTGCAGGCACAGCTACACAGAGTTTGGCTTCCCGGCGCTGCTGAAAACGTCCTAGAATCCCACCTGACTGGAGGTTGCTTTCCACGCTTAGTCAGAAGTTCTGTGAAACCTTAGTTGAAATGTAAGACCTGCATAGTGACTTCTGCTCTCTGACTGGGGGACAGGCTGCTGGGTTTGGGTGAGGTTTCTCTTCTTCTGGTGTTTTAAATGTTCTCAGAATCCACAGGTAAATCTTTGTCTACGGGAGAAAGGTCAAAATAAACAAAAGAGAGAGCAGCTGGAACACTTGTGGAAGGACATGGGCAGCGTGTGTGTGCAGGGCAGCACACTGGCAGGTACCTCCCCAGGAAGATAAAGGTTACTGCAGAAGTTTTCTGAAGAGTTTGCCTTGTGAAGTAGTACAGTGCTTCTTTGTCCTCACAGCAGAAGTGTGAAAGCAGCTCCATGTTAGAGGAGCGGGGCTTTAGTTCCTGTGGGATTGATCACACTCAGCTCTTCCTGTGTCAGTCACAGGTTTGGAAGAAACCCCGCTGTGTAGCTAAAGCAGTGGACCTACTAGAAATAATGAAATACTTTAGAAAAGGTGAAACAGTCAGATCAGAATATGAGAAAGCTCTGCTGTTGGCTGCACTGTTCCTTAGATGAGGCGAGTAGGTGCTGATGGAGTCTGTCCTGTGTCTGGGATCCACAAGCAGCTTTCTGTCCCCTTAGAGCAGGTGTTCATTTCTGGGTTTCTGTGCAGATAGAAACCTTACCTTTAGCAAGCTGGTTTGTGTACAGCCTGTTCCCTTCAAGGACCTGATGCTTCTGCAATGGGTCCCTCTGAGCTAATACTAACACGAGGAACTCTCGATGAAGAGCAAGAAGAGAGGGAGAGTGACGCTGATGACATTGACCATGAAGGTAAGGGAATGAGGTCTAAAAGCTGCCTCTCAGGAAATCCCCTCTATATTTCATGACCTGGATGGACTGTAAGGAGAGCCTAGAAAACAAGCAAACATTCAGTCACCTGATGTGTCAGAATCTGTAGCAGAAGCTCAGCTGCAATGGTCAGTGCAGGGATATCACTCTGTAACCTTTGTGAAAGTTCAATTGTAAATTTTCTATTCAAGTAATTAATAGGTGTATAATACACATAGACCAGAGAACTCGTTAGGCTTGGGGCATGCAGTGACCTCTGAACCTGATTGATGCACAGATGTGTCCATCATCTTTTTGGCCTTACAGTTTCTGCCCCTGGCTCTCTTCCCTTTTCCTGTGACTGTGGTCTTGGAGCAATCTTCTAAGTTGTTACAGTGTGATTTTTCTCTTCTATAGCTCACAGACTTAATCTTCATTCTTTCCCTGTTCCACTGGGACAGGGATAAGTGATAAGGATCACTTATTTCCTTTGCCCTGTAATGTAGTTGAAGATGGAATAGACTTTCTATGTTGCTTTGGCTATCCTGATTCTAACTTGTTTTCAGAAACACAAGTAGAACAAGTACTGAAATAGCGCTGAACTTCAGCAGCAGCGGGGACTGCGCAGGAGAAGGAGGGTGGGCAGCGGGCCTGGGGCGGGCAGGGGGATGGGGGTGGGCACTTAAAAGATTTCGGCCAGGGAGCTGATCTCAGCCAGCACCCAGTCGGGGCAGTCTGAGTCCCCCCAGGAGCAGAACTGCTGCGTGGGGAGAGGCGGTCAGAGGCGCACTGCCGCTCTGTGTCCTCCCCGCTCCCCGCCGCCGACTCCCGGCCCACCACGTCGCCGCTGCTCCCCGGTGCCCCATGCCGCACAGTCCGCCTTCGCGACCCGGAACCGCCCCGTGTGCCGGTGGGGGGCTCCCCGAGGGGCTCTGCAGGGGCCTTGGGGCCGGGACCCCGGGGGTGCAGCCCGACCAAGGGGCGGGGCAGGGGACGGGGTCCCGGGAGCGGGACCCGGGACGGCCACGGACCCGCGGGAAGGGCCCCTCCGACACGGCCCTCGTCCCTCCTCCCGACCACCCGAGCACCTCCCGCCACCCCGCGGGCTCCAAGCCCCGCCAATCCGGGCCCGAGGCAGCGTCTGGCCCGCCAATCCCGGGCTGCCTTTCTCGGCGCCGTCCAATCACAGTCCGCCTTTTCAATCCGGCAGCGGTCCCGCAAGCTCTGCCCGCTCAGCCGCGGCGCGGCCCCTCCGCGCGGCCCCGCCTCCCCGTTCCCCTCAGGCGCTGCTGGGACCACGGAAGGGCGGTGGGAGCTCCGCGGTCACGTCGCGTCCGGGAGCTCTCCCAGGAGAAGGGGAGGGAGGCGGGGAGCGGGCGGGAGGGGCTCCGGGAGCGGGGCCTGCGGGGCCAGCGGGGTTCTCGGGAACGGGCGGGCGGGGATTGGCGGGGCTGGCACGGGGGGGCGGGGCTATGCGGGCCGCGGGCTATAAATAGCGAGGGGGGAGGAGCGGGGGGGCAGTTCGGCGGCGGAGGTGGAAGCGGCGCTGGAGCTGCAGGAGCCGGGGCGAGATCGGCGGTGAGCTGGGGCGGGACTCCCGCGGCTGCCGCTCCAGGCACGTGGCCTGTCTTGGGCACAGGGGCTGTTCTGTCCGGGAGGTTCTGGCTCCCGACGTGCAGGTCCGATCCCGGCCCACCACTCCCAGCCCGCTTTTCTCCGCTCCGTCCAATCGTAGCCCGCCCCTTCAATGGGGCCGCGGTCCCGTAAGCTGTGCCCGCTCAGCCGCGTCGCGGCGCCGCCCCCCTTCCCCACGTCCCCCTCAGGCGCTGTAGGTGCCGGCGCCTTTGCTTCCGGAGCCGCGCCTGCGCTGCCGCAGCCCCCGACAGGCCCTGTTGGGACCAGGGAGGGCGGGTGGCACAGCTCCGCGCTCACGTCCCGTCTGGGAGTTCTTCCGGGAGGCGGGGAGGGGGCGGGAGCGGCGGCGGCCCTTTCAATGGGGCCGCGGTCGAGCAAGTTCTGCCCGCTCAGCCGCGGCGCGGAGCCGACCCCCTCTGCACCTCGCCCCCCGCGTTCCCCTCAGGCGCCGCTCTCGGCGTCTTTGCTTCGGGATCCGGCGGAGCCGCGCCTGCGCTGCCGCGGTGCCCGCAGGCGCTGTTGAGAGGGCGGGTGGGAGGTCCGCGGTCCCGTCCCGTCCCGGAGTTCTCCCGGGAAAAGGGGAGGGAGGCGGGGAGCGGGCGGGAGCGGAGCAGCCCCTGGGAGCGGGGCGTGAGGGGACAGCGGGGTTCTTGGGGACGGGCAGGGCGGGAACGGGCAGGCGGGGATTGGCGGGGCCGGACGCTGCCGGACGCTGGGATTGGCTGGGCTGGCACGAGGGGGGCGGGGCTGTGCGGGCCGCGGGCTATAAATGGCGTGGGCGGGGGGCCCTGGGGGCAGTTCGGCGGCGGGGCTGGGGGCGGCGCTGGAGCTGCGGGAGCCGGCCCGGGATTGGCGCGGCCGCTGGGCCGAGGAGCGGCGGTGAGCCGGGGTGGGACCTTCGCGGCTGCCGCTCCAGGGAGCGGTGGGGAGCCATGGGGCAGCACCCCCTCGGCTGCCGATCCAGGGGGAGCTGGGGTCGGTCCCCCACAGCTGCCGAGGCAGGGCGTTGGGCAGGCGGTGTCCCGGGCAGCTGTGCCGGCCAGCGTTGGTCGGTGCTCAGTGGGGGAGCAGCCCATGCTCAGGGGTGCTCCCCCGAACCAGAAGGACTAGGATGCAACCTCTCAGGGTATTGAAAGTATTGTTACAAAGAAAAGTAATAAAAGATGTTTCATTCTATTATAATTTTATTTTATATTTATTTTCATCTTTGACTACTTGATTGTTTATTCTATTGTTTTGTTGCTGTTCCCGTTGGGATGGGTGGGACAGCTCTTAGAGATATTTAAGTGAATGACAAAGACTGACTTGTGACCTTGTCAACAGCCCCGGGCTGCAGAGATACCCAGGAGCAGATTTAGGCAGAGGCAGCAGAAAGCTGAGGCAGAGGCAGCAGAAAGCTGAGGCAGAGGCAGCAGAAAGCTGAGAACCTGGAGCTCAGGCAGCAGAGCTGGTGGAGACATAAAGACGGTAGGACTGTGGGCAGAACAAGAGTGGGGCTGGATTAGGGAGCATGGACCTGGCATAAGTACTGCAGGGATGGAGCTGGGATAAAAATAGTCAGGCCTGGCCTGGAATGTGGGCTTGAGAGCTGGGGTGGAAAACTCAGACCTTTAACAAAAGAAAGATGCTAGGATTGGAACGTGCAGCAGCTTTACCGGGAGCTGACAGCAGAGCTGGCAGAGAAATAAAGGTTGTGGGTCTGGGTATGGGATGGGGAGAGTGGTGCTCAGAAAGGGACTGTGGAGGAGGGATAGGGACTGTGGCACTGCAGCAGAAATCACTGTACGATTGAGACAGGGACTGGCACTGTCGCTGAAACATCTGTGTGTCTGTGGAATAGGGATTGATGGGCGGGTACATGGACTGGGGGGGAAGAGCTGAAATCAGTCTAGGGCAGGGATCTGGACTTTGGAGTTCGGATCGAGTTTGTGGGGCTGGAGGAGCACCTGGGGGAGTGGGGCTGGGAGTGTGAGGGTGGAGCTGGAAAGTCGCAGAGCTGGAGCCAAGCTGAAGATCCTGCAGTGAGAACCTGGAGCAGCTTCCCGTGGCGGCGCTGGCAAGATGCAGAGCTACTGCTGAGAGAGCAGAGCTGGCCGTGCAATAAAGCTTGTGGGTCTCGAGCTGAAATCACTGAGGGGCTGGGGTAGGGATGGGTTCTGGGCTTGGGACTGAAACACTTGGGGCAGGAATCCGTGTGGGGAGGAGATAGGGCCTGTGACACCGTGGCTGAAATCTCTGTGTGGCTGTGGAATTGGGATTATAATTGGAAATGTGGACTGAGAGGCTGGGGCTGAAATCAGCATAGTGCTGGGATTGCATCTGTGGAGCTGGGAGAGTGTCTGGAGCTCAGATAGGGCCTGTGGCACGTTTGCTGAAATCCCTGAGGGGCTGTGGAATAGGGATTAATGGGCGGGAATGTGGATTGGGTGGGTAGAGTTGAAATCAGTCTAGTGCTGGGCTTGTGATTTTGGAATTGGGATGGGGTTTGTGAGGCTGGAGGAGCACCTATGGGACCGGGACTGGGAGTGTGAGGGTGGAGCTGGAAAGTCGCAGAGCTGGAGCCAAGCAGAAGATCCTGCAGTGAGAACCTGGAGCAGCTTCCCGTGGCGGCGCTGGCAAGATGCAGAGCTACTGCTGAGAGAGCAGAGCTGGCCGTGCAATAAAGCTTGTGGGTCTGGAGCTGAAATCACTGAGGGGCTGGGGTAGGGATGGGTTCTGGGCTTGGGACTGAAACACTTGGGGCAGGAATCAGAGCAATCACTGTGAGATAGGGCCTGTGGCACCGTCGCTGCAATGACTGTGTGTGTGATATAGGGATTGATGGGCGGGAACGTGGATTGGGTGGGAGAGCTGAAATCAGTCTAGTGCTGGGCTTGTGTCTTTGGAATTGGGATCGAGTTTGTGGGGTTGGAGGAGCACCTGGGGGAGTGGGGCTGGGAGTGTGAGGGTGGAGCTGGAAAGTCGCAGAGCTGGAGCCAAGCTGAAGATCTTGCAGTGAGAACGTGGAGCAGCTTCCTGTGGCGGCGCTGTCAAGATGCAGAGCTACTGCTGAGAGAGCAGAGCTGGCAGTGCAATAAAGCTTGTGGGTCTGGAGCTGAAATCACTGAGGGGCTGGGGTAGGGAGGGGTTCTGGGCTTGGGACTGAAACACTTGGGCAGGAATCCGTGTGGGGAGGAGATAGGGCCTGTGGCACCGTGGCTGAAATCTCTGTGTGGCTGTGGAATTGGGATTATAATTGGAAATGTGGACTGAGAGGCTGGGGCTGAAATCCGCATCGTGCGAAGGATTGCATCTGTGAGAGCTGCGAGAGTGTCTGGAGCTCAGATAGGGCCTGTGGCACGTTCGCTGAAATCGCTGAGTGGCTGTGGAATAGGGATTAGTGGGCGTGAATGTGGATTGGGTGGGTAGAGCTGAAGTCAGTCTAGTGCTGGGCTTGTGTCTTTGGAACTGGGATAGGAATTTTGGGGCTGGAGGAGCACCTGGGGGACTGGGATTGGGAGTGTGAGGGTGGAGCTGGAAAGTCGCAGAGCTGGAGCCAAGCTGAAGATCCTGCAGTTGAGAACCTGGAGCACTTCCCGGGGCGCGGCTGGCAAGATGCAGAGCACTGCTGAGAGCAGAGCTGCCCGTGCAACTAAGCTTGTGGGGCTCGGAGCTTGAAAATCACTGAGGGCTGGGTAGGGATGGGTTCTGGGCTTGGGGACTGAAACACTGGGGCAGGAATCTGTGTGGTGAGGAGATAGGGCCTGTTGACAACCGGCCTGAAATCTCTGTGTGGCTGTGGAATTGGGATTATAATTGGAAATGTGGACTGAGA